CCTCCGGAATGTGAAGCGTGGTGTTCCTCCACTAATATCAGCAGATGATGTGATCAAACTGCCGAGGATTCAGCCCACGTTCTACAGCTACAATATGCTAAAATTTTCCGACGTGCTGCCAGCACATGTAATGTATCTGTCCATCCTCCCAGAAACTATTATTTAGCCACCTCGGTTTTAGTTCAGTGACCATTTTGAGGAAGCTGCTATCGGGCACATTCATAGTTCCCCCGAAAGCACTGCAGGTGGCATTTGTGAGGATAGCTGAGTCACTAAGGAGATTTCTCCAAAGTCTCTTGGACGAACAGCAGGTCGCTAACATGTGAAAGCATGGCATCATCATCCCGATTTTCAAGAGCGGTAGCCTTTCAGAGCCCGCCAACTGTTGCTCAGTGATTCTCCTCACGGTGCTCTCAAAGGTTATGGAGTCCATCATAGCTGACGCTCTAATAGGCTACTTTGAAAGGTCTATCATCATAGCACGGGAGCAACACGCATTCCGTCAGTATCGGTCATGTACTACCAATCTACTGATTGAGCGTGGCAGTTGGACCGAGATACCCGGCAATGGGATCAACCCTGATGTCAAATACCTAGACTTTTCAAGAGCCTTCGACTGCTTAGATCACTGCATCCTATGAAAGCTGTAAGCGTACGGGATTGGGAAGCCAGTTCTTGCATAGATCGGAGATTCTCTTCTTCAGCGAGGTCTTCAGGTTCGAGTTTGAGACACATTTTCTGATCCAATTAATGTGGACTGCCGTGTTCCACAAGGGTCGATGTTGGGGCCGCGCTTATTCTTGTTCTTAATTAGCGACTTCGCGCGTGTCATTGCGTCAAATTTCCTGCTTTTTGCCGATGACATCTAACTATGGCGAGCGATGTGCTGTCAGGAAGATCATGATATGCTGCAACAAAACTTAGACCGCACTCTTGAATGATCAAAAGTAAATCTACTTCCGTTTAACGCGGCCAAGTGTAGAATTGTGCACGTCCGCCACGAGCTCACTGATGCGTTTAAGTTTAAAGACCACATGCTGAAAACCGCCTCACAGGAGCGCGACTTTGGAGTGGTGATGGAAGATGACCCCGGCTGTTTGGCGCAGTCATTGAGGGCGTTCAGAACGGCAAACGAACATGTCAGTCTATTATGGAGGGCTTTCGCGAGTTTCGATCCCTATATTTTCCCTTAATTACTGAACAAGTTTCTTGGACCCCATGTACAGTACGCGATCCAGGTCTAGTCACGCTTGCCGGGACCTCCTGACCTTTAGCCGCAATACGAAGTTGTGGGGTCATAAGCCGAAACTGGCCACCCAATACAGTTGGTTGGAGTGCCGCCGGAATTACTTTTCCCTTCGAATTTGTCAACCGTGGAACGCTCTTTTGAATTTTTTAATTTCTGCGCCCGGGCTACCCATTTTTTATAATTGACTCCGCGATGATTTACACCGGATGCATTACTTGATCTGATTTTTGTTCAGTGAGTGACGACAAGGCACAGACGAACATTGTGTTCATGAACGCACACGAAATCGGAACAGACGGAAATACTTTGTGTTAACGTGAATAAGGTGGTCAGTCCACAGATGCGTTTTGCACTTCTGTATAACTTTACTTGAACTAACGTTATTCCTACAAACCGTCCCACCGGACTTGTCAAATCTTGGCTCTTTTTATCCGTATTATACCATTGAATTCCCAGAATACATTCCACTTTTTCCGTCTCCCTTATGCGTTCACCAGGAGGCGACACTATTTGTACTACGTCCCATTTGCCGTCATTCGTTATGGACTTGGTGGATTAACTGGTTATAATACCTATGCCACAGTGAGTCCACTGCCGTGAACATGATTTTACTGACAATTATTTCCATAGTTTGCAATATTCACCATGACCATCCTACTGGACCTGTTAAGCTTTGGCTTTATAACCCCTATAAAACCATTGTTCAATTGATGCAATCTGGCTCAACAATGGCAGTTGAAAGGAGATAATGCTATCAGCGGCAGTGCCTTTTATTGGTCTGTCATTCGCCTGTTTTCGTTTCCCATCCATCTCCCCAACTTTTACCCAACAACTCATTCCGTGAAAAGCTCCGTAAGCCTTGTAGGTGTGCATTGAATGAGCATGGAAAACCACTCCAAATAAATGGGTCACAGAGCAGATTACCAAAAGGTGAATTGCTACTAGCAGCATTCAGTGCGGAATACATCAAGGGGAGACCATGAGAACAGTCAAACGAGCACTGCTTCGGCCAGTAGTATCTTCGCTCATCATGATTAATGTCTTTTGTCGTGCATCATATCAAAACAGTACGGTGTGGATGCTTACATTCAACCACAACGACACAGCATTCAAAATGACCGTTAAGATTAGACTTGTTGATGGGTTAGTCAATGTCCGGGATAATGTAAAGTTCGCAGATTCCTTGCCACATGTTTGGGTTGTACAGACAATTCAGCTGCAGTGATGAAATAACGTGGATCTAGTTTTCAGAATGGCAATTTGGGAGTTAAATGTGGCTCATCCTAGGAGACGTTAACCTAGACTCTTAAACTTAATCAATCACTTGGAAATTGGTTTATAATGCGCATCAAGGGATCGCTCACCTAACAGTGAGATAGTGATTTTCAAAAGTAACCTATGGGGAAGCATAAAAGCATTTGGGATACTCTTTAGGTATGTAAACTGTGGCATGCAATGCCGATCTAGATTGCATGTCGCAATTCCCACACGTTCGAACACGATCATATGAAATCCCCCAATGAGATTCCAACATTTCTAACAAGCAGTGTCCGCTGAGCTTAGCGACTACTTTCATCGACTCCTGTATTGGGCTTCGAGTTCGAATCAATTTAGCTCTGTTTGAAGATGTCAAGCCAGGACGAAGCCGGTCGTCAGCTGCATTACTGAGAGTGGGCATCACTCAATATTTAGTGGAACAAAATGCACTGTTCCCCCGGGCGTTCGGCATAGTGTCTCCTAACTGAACACATCAATGTCCGTTGCTCTTCGTGCGCCGCTTGGCAGAGGCATCCATAACTGCTTCGCAAACGCCGAAGTTTGGCAGCGAAATTTGGCGAAATGCACATTATATACTATCGTCTTTTGGAAATGGTCAAAGAGGTGGCAGACACAATTGAGCCTAGAGAAGCGCTTCATGGCTGGTAGACTAACGGAAAAGAAGGAAATTTGGCGACGTTTTAACCCGTGTGTCGCACATATACTGCAGGTCAACTGGGCCATGGGTTGGTTTCGTGGATGATTATTGGTTGATGGGTGTACACGAGATTGGATTCACTGGATAGCCAGTACAACAGTGCAGGTCACACATACATACGTCAGCCGTAGTTAACGAACGCCCAAAGTACCGCCAAGGATTTCTTAAACTCGGACGACTATAGCATTGACCAGTGAAGATTGTTCGCAGTTGCTCCGTACACCGTATATTACCGAATATAAGCCGATGATTTTTGGACAGTTTTTCGTTTTTATAGAGGGAGGGGCGGCTTATAAGATGGCTAGACGGAATTTGAAAAAAGGCAGATGCAAAATCAACCCAGGAATACACTGACCACCACTTTCCTTAGTTCCCCTTAGCACCACCCGTTAGTAACGGACGGTATTCCAGACGGAGATTTGAAGTGTCTATAACTGGGTGCGTTACTTTTAGGGGAATTTCTCGGTATATCGCATAGTTGACGGTTGCGACGAATGGTAGTGGCGAATCAATAGCCCTTAACATTATGTTATGTCAGGTGATCTGGTACTTTAAAAGTTCAACGTCGTCCCACACCCCTGACCATGAACTTCACTCTCATACACTGCTCTACTGTGATTCACACGCATCAGGCCCCCGACTATGCGAGGCGGCCTGTTGGACACCATCTCATGTCACCCTATATTGTCGGCTGTCGTGCCTGTTTCATGTGACTTAACATCTGGTCAATACACTGGCCGGTGCGTTGAAAGTCGGTTCTGACCGTCCATTAACCGCGATTATAGCACATTGGGATCAGCCAGTAGTAGAGCAGGTTTCAGTTGAACACACTCAAGTGAGAGCAGGTAGCGATGAGGTCAAAATTGTAGAGAAACCATTTCGTTTCCCTTTTGCTGATTTTTTAGGGGTCAACGAATACAGGGACTTCGGACAAACTTACAAACTTATACTGCCAGCCTATCTAAGGAGGGTTTATGTTCGGTAATATACGGTAAGTTAATACTGAGGCTACATGATGGAAATATCTGGGTGAAATAGGCAGGTGGACAATGAACACGTGAAATGTTGCCTACTGCTTTCGGAAGAAATGGCCAGAATTTTGCAACTTAACTGATCTACTGCAACATAATTAACTACTGCTGCCTGGACGCATTCAACCTGTGCACAATAGCCTGATCACGAGTGAGAAGCTATTGCTGTCGAATGCATTAATTTCACCTATTGCGCGATTGGCAAATGTTAAACCTCTGTTTGGTGGTCATGTATCTACGAGATACTGGGAAGATAATTCGGAGTTTTATCAAGGATGAAGACATATACAAAGATGTCGTTCATCTGGTCTCAGCACTGTCCCTGCACGAAACACGATAAGCTAGACCTAGCGCGCTGCTACGAATGAAGCTACTACGACAAGGTAGGGTAGATTTTCTGCCCACTTAGTGACGGAATGACGCCATCGATGGCTCAGTTCATCTATTTGGTGAGATGGAATCAATAAGGTGAACATCCAAGAAATTGTTGGTTAGCAAGTGGACCATGGGAAAGGATACATCATAAGAAGGATAGGGTCGGGACAACAGGATGCGCACCACATATGGGCAGTTTTGACAAGGCTGGTGTGGGAAGTGCGTTTACTTGGTCGAAAGCCGACTAAATTTTGGGGCCGAATCTATGTGCCAGTTGCAGATGTTGACATACATTTAAAGCTTCAACTTTTCTCGTCCGCAATGCATGACATGTCAGTGCAACCTATAGCCTGTACACCCAGATACACAGTCAAGCAAGGACGTAAAAGCAAATACACATACCCTCCAACTGTTGATCGAGGCGCTTAATAAATTCTTCTGTCCCTGAGAGTTTAAAGAATGCCCGTGGATCCATCGGTCGGTAGGCAGGTCCGGAGTGCTGCTGTGGCTTCTGGTACTGTATTCGCTCTCTAGCACACCAGCTGTCGAAGATGCCCTGGATCACTTCGAATGCTAAAAGAGAGAACGGGGAAGAGTGGAGAAAATTTTCTAAACGGAGTAGTAGTTAGATCATAATCGTTTCGTGGGTAGGTCAAGTGGCCTTTCTTACTCTTCCGCTTCAGACAGACAATGTGTAACAAAATGGATATTAAGATACGCTCCCCTTGAAAAAAATATTTGGCACCAAAATCGGTAGCCCGTTGAGGTAATGGGGTAGGTTTCTGACAAAGCGTGTACTTGTATTGTATATGCCTGGGTTCTTATAACTCACGCATAGATCAACACAAACATTATTTTGCACGCAAGGTCATCGCGGCCGGTGCTGGCGTCCGTTCTCAAACTGAGTCAAGTGATACACTAATGTTTCTTCGTCTGGTGGCATGGATCCAAATTGCTCCATCTGCAGTGTGTGTGTGTGTGTGTGATACAGGAATGATGGTGCAACCAAAAGCTGTTGTTTGACAAAATTCACCAAAAACGAAGTCAGTGGAAAGGTTGAGTGTACGTATAGAAATGACTCAGGGGTCGTAAAACCTCCCCGTTTATTATCTGGCGATTCAACTACCGTGTGGATCCGACACCTAATGAGGACAGTGGCTAACTGCGCGCGTCGCCCAGTGGCTCTCCTCCCTTTGCTCGTAGTGATGGTAGCGATCGTCGCTTAAGCTCTAATACGCCATCAGAAAAAATACATCGCACCGGAGCAGCATGGCTTCCGTCAACACCGGTCATGCACCACCAACCTACTGATTGCACGAGGTAGTTGGACGGAAGTGGCCGATGATGCGGTCGGAGTTGACGTCATCTATCTGGACTTCTCCAAAACTTTCGATCGCCTTGATCACCGTATCCTACTTCACCGGTTACAGAGCTAGGGAATCGGAGATAGTGTTCTTGGTTGGATTGGCAACTTTCTTCACCAACGGAGGCTTCAAGTACGTGTTAGAGGATAACTCTCTGATCCCCTTGAGGTGGAATGTGGTGTTCCACAAGACTCAGTGCTGGGACCGCGTTTATTTCTGGTGTTTACGTACGATCTGAAAAAAGAGTTATATCCTCAAATTTCTGCTTTTCGCTGATGACGTCAAGATATGGCGGGCGATTAGAACCAATGAAGATCACGATCTATTCCAACATGATCTAGGTTGTATTTATGAATGGTCAAAGAGGAATCTGCTCCAGGTGAACATAGTTAAGTGCGAGGGGATTCATCTGCGTCACCAGCCGGTGAGCGCTTACAAGCTTGGAGGCCACACCTTGCAGAAAGCCGCTCAGGAGAGTGACCTGGGTGTACTAGTACAGGAAGATCTCGGGTGTTCAAAACAAGCAGAGAAGGCGACGAGAATCGGCAATCAACACTTCGGTCTTCTTCGCAGAGCCTTCGGTCGGTTTGAACCATCAATATTTCCCCAAATGCTTAACGCCTGCGTGCGACCTCACGTGGAATATGCTATTCAGGCGTGGCGGCCGTGGCAGAAACAGGATCTCGTTGCTCTCGAGACTCCTCAACGAAGGGCAACCAAGAACGTCAGGGGCTTCTTTCAGCTGCCCTATCAACTTAGACACAAATCTCTAAGAATATACAGCAGTCGATATCGGCTTTTGCGAGGGGATCTCATAATGGTTTACCAGATTCTGAAGAACCCAAACCACGTTTGGCGCCCGCTGCTGGAACTGAACCACAACACTGACCTAAGAGGTCATCCTCTGAAACTGACAATACAGTATAGCCAAGTTGAAGGTCGTAGAATCTTCTGTTCCCTAGAGTGTATCAGCCTTGGAACGCTCTCCCAAATTATGTCGTTTCTGCTCCCAGTCTAGGGATATCCAAAAAACAACTTGACGAAGCGTTGTCTCATTTGCATTTCATTTTATAACCAACGGGCTATAAAACGCCATCAAACGGTGTGTTACCAAACTACTAACCAATGGATTTATGGATTTATACTTCTAATACACGAACAGCTCCGCTATTCTACATAAGTCTATGGTTAGTCCACCAAAAGGCGTTTCATTTGATTATGCAATTTACGTTGCGCAATAATTTCTATCCCACGTGACTTGGTAAGCGATGCTTTTTATCCGTAATAAACCATTGTTCCATAGTCTATTAATAACAATAGCATCAGTGAAGTCTACATGGTCCAACCTTGAAAACGACATGGGCTGTGTCATAGGTGGTTGAGATGACGTATTACCATAGAAAACAGGGATAAATAGTTGCAGAATGGCATTAGCCGTCTGTTGTGTAGTTAATACTAGACCAATTGCTGCAACTAGATCGTGGACTCAGCGTGTACTATGCGAAGCTTAACGACTTGACCGTAGAAAATTTCAAGATTAGTGCTAAGTCATCATAGTTAATTCTTCTCGGAGCTTGTTTGTCTTCGAGGACCACCTTGACTCGATGATTTCGGTAAGTAGACTGCTCAGGCGCGTATTATATTAGTGTACGGTGAAGAGTGTCCTCTTTGCGTCATGCGCGGGCAACAATTTGTTGGGTATATGTGACTTGTGCGCACGCAGTTGCTTACTTTGTATAACGCCTTTGCTTTCCGCCACAGCTTGTTCAAAATGCTCATACTAGCATTATTACTATCGATTAGGTAGCGCAATTTGGGTTCAGTTAACAAGTGTAGGCCTAGCCCGCATGTTGCAGTACGTATGATAGCTCCATGCAGCTCATGTTGTAGGTTTAGACTTCTAGTTCTTAGTTATCTCCGGTCCAAAGTTATGGTTGATCAATCGTCGATACCAAGAATCACAGGACATATTGCTTGTACGATACCTTCGAGTCGGAGGTTGTCTGGTGTGGAGTGATGACCACGTGATCTTCAACCTGCATAGTTGTGATTGTTAGCCATGGTGTCAAGTAACCAGTCCGCTCGTGACTTGTTAGGAGGCAATCTGAACATGTTGGGATCCGAGCAACCCATACCTTACTTGTTACGGGGTCTTATCGAAATGCTTGCACGAGTTGACGAATAGATGACGGGTCGATGGGGCTGTCTCCAACCTTGTCTCGCACCATCCACCTATCATCTGACCCCACTCCACCGTGTACTTTCTGCAAGGATGTATATGAGGCCCAAGAAGCTGCGTTTACCACAAACCACTATATGCACAGCTTAGTTAGGGCCACATCCTACCTATGTGGATGTGTGTCTAATGGTGCTCAAACGATAAGCTGTATGGATTTGTCGACGATATTGTGAACTGTGTTCGTCCCTTGGCTCGGGCGCAATAAGGACTGACTGCTAGTGAACCTACTTCGTGAGTTTCCACTAGGGTAAAATCCGAAAGCTGTATCTGGTACCAACTGAAACGACGGCCGTTTCAGCAGTGAAGCGGTTGTCTCTGAGACGTGCCACCAATTTCACCCCATTTTCGACCTGCACTGCATTCCTCGACAAATTCCACTGGGTGGCTAGCAGTAACAATTTCGGTAGCATAGTAGCATAGTGTGTAGCATAGTAAACTGGCGACTGCGAATTGTCCTTAGTTCTATGCATTACTTTTGGACTAGTACTCCCTAGATAGATAGTACTGTTAGTGCGTTAAATCTTCTAGAGTTTCCATAGTTGAAAGTGGTGCTCAACCAGCACACTAACAAACGCTATGCACTTGCTGCGCATGCCCTATCAATACTGTGATCGGTCGGATTCTGTGATCCATGTTGTTATTGCATCCAAACGGACAAACACTGAAGTGGTGAAGCAACGTGTAAGCGCATTGGAAAAAACACTATCCAACAAAATTGTGCACAGATGTAAACAAAACGGTACTGAACGGTCTGTGATATGTAAAGATGAGGCTATATCCCCATAAGGGAGGCTATGCACGTCTTTATGGCTTAGACATGGGGCTAGTACGCACATCAGTTTCGCCCTCTGATTTGTTCAATTGCCGGCATAAACTTACGATCCTCATTGGCGGCCGTCTCGTCCTGCGGGTCAACAGCCCAAGCATCGTATGGCACACTGTGCACATCAACGCTGTATTCCTTGAGCATGAATTTTAGCAAGGCCGGATGGATCTCCGGGTACATTGATCGAAACGAATCCCAAGTCATCTACAATTAAGGAGAAAAGGTGGCACTTTCGAGAAATGAAGCGCGAAAGAGGCCTGACACTTTATCACTACCAAGCCATCGAATGTGTGTGATGCGTAGGGGGCCAAGGTTTACCAGCCAATGTGTTGCCAAATAGTCTGTGAGAATACCAATCTAGTACCATGATTTGCAGACGGATAAAATGATACACCAGAGCAAGATAACGGTAAAGAGTTACAGCTATAGGCTGCTCAAATAATGTGATATGTGTATAGAAACAATTAAGCGATCAGGTTTCTTCCATTTCATTGGTATGATTTTAGTAAGTTCTAGAGGCAGGTTAGTGTTAGCCTATCCGTTGGATAAAAGTTATGAAGACACATAACAAGTCAAAAATGAGAAGAACACAAATGGAATTCCAACGGCCACTGTCTGTAAGTGTGTTGCGAGGCCCACAAGGCAGAATATGTTTAATTTTTTATTAAAAGCTTCAACTAAGTGCACTTGCCCCAAGTGTTCAGAAGCTGAGAGACAAAGTGATCTCATTAGTTGGAATCGGTTGTGGTAAAGAGAGACGATGTCACATCCAGCTCATTGGACTGCAGTTAACACAGCCACGAGTTGAGTAGAATACCGATTCTAAACTGACCAGTGTGTACATTTGTACATATGCATAAAACATTATTTTCAAATTTTGTGCAAAATGTATACGTTTTCTCATTTGCATAATTGACAATCGACGATAAACATCACGTTCTCAATGCTAAAATAACTAGTACATAACTATTAAAACAATATTTTTGGACCAAACTTCTTGCCTATGTGCGGAGGGAATAATCATAAAACGGCAGGACTTTTCGATATATCCACGGCATTCGATCACTTTGGTGGTACCAAACTCAGCAGCAGGAAACGACGCAGTGAGACCAACCTGCTTGTTTATCAGCTCAGCTTTTCCCGCCATCTTCGGGCCAAAACGAGCGAGGAGCCCATATGTTAACTTACCTCCTCTTCGACGCTTCGGCGTAACCTCCATTAGTGTTCTTGAACTTGGTCACTTGGCCGCACAACCGGTCTAGCAGACAATTGAATAGACAATTTCTTATTGATAAAATAAGTTTGTGTTTACCGAACTACGAGTTTCTTCGGCACACCAAATTGGCATGGAGACGCTATACAGCAACTCACCCTCAGCATCTGATCCTTCGGAGTGGCTAAGAGGCTGGCGAACTCTGTGATCATTGATAACGGTCGTCTGTGAGCTCTCAGGCCGTTGGTCGCCAACCATTCTTGTAACCAAGTCACACCGGATAGAAGACGTTCCCCGGTATTCCAGTCGATCAAAATTGTCCCTAATCGAGTGGAGGAAAGACAAATAAGTGGAGGCTGCCGCATGACATATACGCCACATTGATTGTTGAAATCTCATACGTGCAAAGGTCTAATTAAGAGTAACTGCACTCTACTTCAGTAGGGGTGTCACTTCCCGATGAAATTGAAGTCACATCCATCCATCCTGTGCGAAGGCGCTCAGCTCCACCGCATTGCGCCGGCAGTGGCCTGCACTCACCCCATGAGTAAGTCGCTTAGGAATTTGGGGGACCTATCGTATGACTCTCACTTTCTCTATGGGGTCAGCTGTCTTGACATTTGGTCAGTACATTGTCCGGTGAGCAGAAATCGTTGTTCTGATAGCTTTCCGCCCCACCACCCTTGCGGATATGACAATGGCGACGAAGATGTCTGGTCATTCATAGCTAACCCACTTGTCACAACCGTTGGTTTAAAAGATAGTAGGGGCAATGATTAGTGGAATGAACATAACCACAATGCCTTCTAAATACTTTCTACAAACTTTACACTACTCACAAACATCGAAAATTAATCTACCATCACCCATTGGACATTCGAAGGACAGGTACTTCGGTCTATTGGGAAGTGACGGGTGAGTGAGCCAATCTGCAACAACAGGGCAGGTACTGTGAGCCCATTGGCAATACGTCGCGCACCAAGCAGAAGTCATGTATTAAAATTTGCGCACCTAATCGTCAGCCCTCGGTAGCTCAGTGGTAGAGCGGCGGACCGGAAATTCGTGGACCGGGGTTCGATTCCTCGTCGAGGCACATTATTGTGCGTGAATTTTAACCGTGACTTCTACTTTCTACAGCCTTCTAAATAGTTAACGATTTTTACTTAGACAGTAATTCAATACTGGAAAACAGGTATTACCTGAGAAGCCCCCAGGCTGGTGAGTGGACTATCTATGCTATTCACATGCACACAAATCCGCTTAGCTTGAGTTCCCGAAGGAAGACAGGTGGGCACAATATTTGACAACGTTCTGTCATCACTCAGTGAGCGCGCTTCATATCACGTAATGCAATGGACTCAATGCAACCTGGGGAGTCGATGCCCTCGTTGTTCCAGTTTTGTCCAGTCGTGTAAAATTGCGGTCTCGTGAAGTCACTATTCTATAGGACCAGGAGGATTTGCAGTCCGAAACTACTAAGGGATGGAGAAGAGTTAATACGCAAGAATCCACTGTCCAATGGTTATCTTGAAAAATTCATCTAAGCCTGATAATTCTAACCGGCAATAGAAAGGATGTTGTGCTGTTTCTACCATTCATATTACGAATGACCCACATACCTACACGACTACCCGACTACGACTCATTTACATCACATGAAAGACTTCTCTCCAGAACAGTTAAACCAATTCGCCAGGCAGTTTGGCCTCTCACGTTATCCACCAGTTCACTTGAAGTTGTTGTGACACCTACGTAGACAAACCTGACCGTCGACTGGCTTAAAGGATGGCTGAAAACCTCTCAAAGTGGTTAAAAGTATCCCTGTGGCAATAAGCATTAAGCATCTTATGCCGCTCCATCACCAAGACGATCCGATGTACAATGAACAATAAACAATGAGTTATCACGGGATAAAAGCAAGTGCTTGATACGTCCCATAGGATGGTTGGGGTGAATATGATGAAATCAAAATATATCTGGGTCATCTACCGAACGTCTACCCAGACGAATACTTTGATAAATTACATCAGTGTAGGTTTAAAAAAACATCGGGCGTAAACGTCCAGAAACACACTGAGGTACAGTGATCGTTGATGTAAGGCGTGAGAAAAGTAAAATATGGTCGCTCAGTTGGGTCCATATGATACAGAAATCCTGTTGAAAAGCATGCTTAGCGTAATTCACGATAGAGGAATTTAGGTAATAAAATGCTGGGTGCTAAGAGCAAAATCTAATCGTTTTTTGAAAACGTCTAAGGTAGGTGGGGATACACCTGAGTCGTTCAAGTTATTATTATGTGATCGGTATCAGAAAATGCTGGCCATCTGTGAAGCGTTGGTGTCAAGCTCGAATTGCCAACGTGTTTGTGCGCATTCAAACGCTAAAGGTAGTCAGAACACGACCAAACAAGGACAATGGTTCAGGGGTTCTTTTACCTAGGGAAACGACTTCGTTATATAGCATAACGTACAACCGTGAAAGCTAACCAGAGTGCGGCAAGCGTGCTGACAAGTAGATCCAATAAGGGCTGAACAAATAGGGAACCAAGCAGATGCACACAAAGAACGGAAATCGACAGTGTTAGGGTCAAAGTAGCGCTGCGATCGGAAAGCAAAAACATCGACCCTATACAGTCAATAAGGATAACGAAATAATACGTTAGAACAAAAATTTGATAAATCACAAGAGCAAAACAAAGTCCGCAGTCATGAACGGTTACGTAAGCATAACTGCATTTTTATTGCTCTTCTAACACAGCCGGTAAAACTTTACCGTTTTGCGATGGCTTGCGTGCTTCAGAGATCTATTGTGTTATGCTGGGTGGTGCCTTTTTTGCACCTTCAGAGCCACTCATACGAGATTGGTCAATGGTTAGTGGCCAGGTCAACTCAGCCTCCTGGTCCTCCAGATTAGGTGTTGGAATGAGAGTGGCTCCTTATTCCTTAAAACGGACTCCTTGTGGCCCAAATCCAAACCCGCTGCCTTTCGGTCAGGTCTTAAGAACCAAAGGATTTAATTGAGAAGCCTAATCACTCTCCTGTCTAGGCAGGGGCAACCTGACAGTATCCTGCTCACGCAATGCAATGAATTGCTCTTCAAACAGTTTTTTGATGTTTTGGCTGTGGCAGAGGATAATAAACGGCGTCCTAGCTGCTGCATCGAGCAGGGTGGATAGGGGTTTGGATGCTACTGCTCAAGCCTTCCCCCACTTACGCTTTTTCACTCTTATCGTCTCTTACCAGCTCTACTTTCATCCACCCTGTTTTCAACCCCAAATTCTTGGCCCTCCCCCGCCTTGCTTCGATAGGCTTTCACCTTTTAATTGCAACTCACATGCGAACGCGCAGCGTCACTCCTGCCCTGTTGACAAGCCCATGTCTAAGCAAGCGGTCAAGCCCAGTTCATCGGCTTCCATTTGGAGCCCTCGATCATCCTTCAGATTGGCATGCATCAATGTACGCACATTGCTACAGTTCAGTCCACAGGCAGCACTTGCCTGAACATTAGTGACCCTCTCGATCGATGTCTGTTGCTTATCGGAGACCCGCCTGCAAGACTTGAGCACTTTGCTCACTTTGCAATCCACTTCAGGTGACACCAGCAGTACTTTCTCATTGCGCCTATCCGGTGACGATGCAGCTTCGAGCACTAGCCAAGTCGGTTTGATAGTGCCCTGAGTCCCTGGGCTGAAGCTGCTCTGGTTGACTGGATTCCAATCCGTAGTCGGATGTGTGCGGTCCGATTGGCTGGCTCGTTCAAAGTTTCGAAGCTGCGCGAGACTAACAGGTGGCTATTTGTCATCGATGCCTATGCGCCCACAAACTAGCGATGATTCAGTGAAAGACGACTTCAAATGCCAAGTGAACGAGCACCTACGCCACAGAATAAGCACGGACCCTGTTGTGCTGGCTGAGCTCAAGTTGGAAAATTATCCACTGATGAACTGCATCTTGGCAGCCAAGATGGTGTGGGCTCCCGTAATGATAACGGTGAGCGGCTACTTCATTTGTGTGAAGATGCTCGCCAGAGGGTGACTTGGCGGCCACCAGCCTCGAACCAGCCTTGGACGCAAATCGATCACACTGCAATCAGTTACCGCTGGAGAGGCTGCGTCCAAAACTGTCTCGATTTGGAGCACATGTGTGGACACCGATCATGCACTTGTATGTGCTGACTTGCCGATGTGTTTTGGCGGACGTCCCCGACGACCCTGTGAGCGCCTTGACACCAACCAACTGACGAACGCAGCTTTTCTGAATGTCTATCAAAGTACGCTGACATGTGAGTTGAGTAAGAGCTCACTGAATGCAATTCAAGCTCACTGGTCTCATCTTCACCATACCTTACTAGCAGCAGGCAAATCCTCATGTGGCAAGTCTAATCGTCAACATGGACATTGGATCTTTTCGCAGTCTCTGGAACTTATCAATGCTCGCCGGCACCTTCAGGCTGGAAGCGAACACAATGAAACTCGCAAAGAGCTCCGGGCAAACTCCGTTCTAGTCCGAAGAGAGACCGCGAGTCCTGGTGGTCTCATGGTGCATCAGAGATGGAAATAGCCGCTGCCCTTGGCAACCATCGTAAGTTATTCTGGCTGATACGGGAATCACCAGCAGGAGACCTGGTGTTAGTGAAAATATACGGGACGAGAGTGGACAGCCTATCCACAACTTGTCAAAACGCTTGGAGCGTTGGTCGGAGCACCTTGAAAGGTAATTTAATCGGTCGGCATTGTCAGATTTCTTGCCTGTCACTGATCGTCCTGATCCGTGGGCTGTCCCTTTGAATCCGCCCTCGCGCTCAGAAGTCCAACGTGAGATCGGATTGTTGCAGTTACATAAAGCCGTGGACCAGATGATCTTCCTCTAGCCCTCTTCAAATTCGGGGGATCTGCTCTTGTTGATGCTTTACATGAATTACTAGTGAAACTGTGGGAGCAGGAAACTGTCCCAACCGACTGGAGCCGCTCCGTCATAGTCTCAAGTTACAAGGGAAGCTCACGATCGGAATACGGCAACTATAGAGGAATCAGTCTGATCTCCATCGTCTCCAAATTGCTTGGCTCTGTCATCCTTCACAGATTGAATGGCACTCGTGAAAGCCAGATTCGTGATGAGCAAGCCGGGTTTCGTCAAGGTCGTGGCTGCATAGATCACATCTTCCCGTTGCGTCAGTTGTTGGAGCAGCGTCACATATACTGGCGGCCCACCGCTGTCGTGTTCCTCGATATCACCGGTGCATTTTATTCCGTGGATAGACCTGCCCTTTGGGACTGTCTGGTCAGGAATGGTGTACCAGAGAAATACATAAATATTATCCGTGCATTATACGCGAGTATCTCGGGCAGAGTGAGGGTTTACGGCCA